TTAGTATATTGATTTCAAGTTTGATTATTTTAATATTTATAATTTTGTATTAGTATTATATTATATTGTTTTATTCTTTTGTCCACTTATTCAACTAAAAGAATATATTTTATAGCTATTAATTATTATTTATTAATTTACTATTCATTTTCCTCAGGGAAATCTAATAATATGTTTGATATGTCACATGATTTATATGGTTAGGTATATACTTACATCAGTTTTTTATATCGAGTATCGGTTTTTGAAAAACATATCGGATTTTTAAGTTTTTTTATATCGGTTCATGGAAATAAAATATCGGATTGGTTAACGATTTTATATCGGCAATATAAATCGGAATATTGGATATAGGAAAATAATATTATCGGCCCAGCTTTAAACATAATATTATAATATTAATTTTTCCTCAAATTGCTTTATAAAAGTTTGTATTTATTATAGGTTTGTTCAGAGTAATGATGTGTTTATTATTTTATTCCTTAAATTATTTTTTAGTTGTTTCGTCGAGGATTTTGGTGCTGAAGGTGCACCCGCTGGGACGAAATGCGGAAAATCCCATAACTCGGAGGAAAACAAAGCACTAATTTTGAAAACGGTAGCATCGAATAGCACTAATTCAGCACTAAATTTTGGTGCTACTTTGGTGCTGGTGTTGAACCCGCTACGTGAAGTTAGAGGAGAAAGGTAAGCCCCCCTGTAACTTTTTACTGGATATTGCACTAATTTTTAAAACGCAGCGGTTGTATAGCACTAATTGAGCACTAAATAGTGCTGGTATAATTAGTGCTCACATTTTTCCGCTAATTTCACGGACCTTAAAAACTCTAACGCATCATAGAATAATTGATTACATTTATTTTTGTTAGAAAAAGAATAACTTTCTACAGGACTCATTGGACTTTGATTCATAGTTTCATTGCTTAAAACAAATATAAGAAAATTAAGAAAATTTGTGCAAAATTGCTCATACTAAAATCGTATTTTATGGATTAGAAATAGAATATTGAAAATTTAAGTCCAATGCGCAGTGTAAGAAGTATTTCTGTTATGCATTTATATCGGACACTCTACGAGGCGTGACAGTTTTTTCTGTAAGGCGAGTTTTTGAGCAAAAAACTGGTCACGTTCTTGCACCTTAATATTACATTTTAAAAGTTTAGATAATGTCTAATATATATTTCAAAAAAAAGACGCAATAAAAATAATTATTTATTAATCACAATAATTACTTGCAAAAGGTAGATTTGAAAGACCTATAGAATTTTTAATATGATTAAAACAAAATTATATAAAACAATGATTGAGTAGGTACTAGTTACCATAAATTGATTAGTTGAATGGTTTACCAATCTTTTATGAACCAATCGTGGGCAACTAGCTAAACTTTATTACATACAGAGTGTATCATGAATCAAGCTCACCCAATATAAATATAGTTATTCTAAGACAATTTTTTTCAAATTCTGGAATTTTTTTGAACTATTAAAAGATTGCTATATGGCGACACAAACTTCTGTTTTTTTAAACCATTATTGGTGAATCACGCTGTATGTATAGTAACTATATTATATTATGGGGAATATAATGGAAAACTGCGTCTTAACAACTAAGTAGTTAATAATTAATAGTAAATAATTCAAAATTATACAAATTTCTGTTATCTATAAAAAGTGAGGTTAATGAGCTTAAAATCTAAGGAAAGCAATCCAAAGTGTCATATTAAAAATTAAAAATTATATAAATTGAGATATGAATTAATTATTTTGTGTGAGCAAATGGAAAATATCTCCAGGGTATATGAACAATCAATCAATACACTAATTAACTAATAAACAAGGTTTACGAATAACTTATGACAATTTAATAGAAAAGGTGCATCTTGGAACCACAATAAGGTATTATTAAAATATATTAAATTAAACTTTAAGGTTATAAAATGCAATGCTTATAAGTAAGCTTTATGTCTAATATACTTCAAAATAAGAATGGAATAATACTAAGTATTTGTTAATTACAATAATATCCTTACTTATTAATTGAGTACATTCAGTTATAAACCCTATAACATTTTAAATTGATTAAAAGAAAATTATATAAAACAAAGCTTGAGTAGGTGTGCAATACATTTATTAGTTGAATGGTTTACTAATCTCTTATGATCCAATCATGGGCATCAAAATTTTACTATACATTTTACATAATAATGGTATTCTTAAGAGACTTTCTCAAATCCTAAAAGCTATGATAAATAATTAATTTTCATATGATTTCCTCCGTTTGCAAATTTTACACCCGCACAATATTTTGTTCGTACGAATATAAAACTGTGTATATCATAACTATTTTAAGTTACTATTTGAATACGAATTAAAAATATTACCTTCACAGAGCTCTGAAAAAAAATCATTTTTTACTTTTTAAGTCAATTTTGTCTATTTACTACAATTTAGGTAAACAATTAATAATAATTAACCATCTGTCTGATTAATTTTTATAAGTCATTCTATTTGAGATAATTTCTAAACAACTAACTATAGTAATTAATTTCTAAACCAATGTAATAAAATTGATATTAGTTATTGTTAATAATATACCTAAATTTATTCTTTATTCTTGGGGTATGCATACCGACCGTTTCTAAGGAGTTCGGTATAGGCAATTTTCTAATTGTGTGCATGCGGGTCGTGTAAATGTGTGCGTAGTAAGTGATTATTAGTGTGAGTGACTGTGTATAAAATAAATAGTGGAGCACACCCGCACGTGCACGCACATGTCATTAACGGAACATTTTACACTCTAATTACAAATGTGAATTTTAGTGAACCACTGAAACTTAGTTTCGTATTTCCAATAATATAGCTTACTGAGTGACATTACAGTATGAACACCTATTATACAAATTGAAGAGAAGGAGTTTATCTAGGCTTGTATAGGAGTCGATTTTCGATATTTTATTTTCAATGTCCAATATTTAACTCTAAAACTTATGATATTTTACTTTTTGAATTTGAATTATTGAGTTTAGTAATTACAAATATTAAAATTTGACTTCTATACAGGCACAGATTAACTTCTCTTCTACAATATTGATAATAGGTGTTTTTACTCTCAAACCACTTAATAAACCATATTATTGGAAATACAAAAGTACATTTTTATAGATTTTTTCAATACTATTCATACCCCTTAACTAAACGGAAGTCTAATTAAAAATAATTCAAACAAATAATGTGAGTTTATACATTACAATAGCGGTTATACTAGAATAGGTTTCTAGCTTATACAAATATAATGTCAGAATATTTTTAACTTTTTAAGACAATTATCTAGGCATAACGTTTATATTAACTCCACCATATTTCTTTATTTATTTAAGTTTTAAACGGGCCAGGCCCAATTACATACATAATAATAATAACAACAATCGATCGTTAAAATAATATACAAAAATAGAATAATTAAAGAGAAAAACAATAAAGTACAATATTAATTATTATATAGTATACTTATAGCTATGAATTAATAAGTAAAAAATTACGGTATTAACCAATTACAAATAAATACATTGTAATTTACCAATTACAATAATTTTTGAATGAGTCGAATTTTGGTGAAATGAACAGATCGATATTTAATTTATTTATAGTTTTCATAATTCTATGATGGGGAGTATTGCTTGCATAATTAGTTAGGTACTTAAGTGTTTAGATAAAAAGTGTTTTTAGACCGGGAGTTACGAGTAGGGGTATGGAAGGAGAAGCGACTTAGGAACTCAGGACAGTCTATAATATATTTCCTGAAAAAAGTTTATACGAAAAGTACAAATCTAATCGCAGACGATGTTGTTCTAGTGTTTCGAGGTTAAGAATTGTTAGTAGTGAAAGGTACGAAGAATGGTGTTGACCCGGCGATCCTTAAAACCAGATATCGCCTGGTACGAGGTCCTCAGGATTGTTGTAGAGTAAGGCTATTTATATGATTCAAAAATAACAGAGATTTCTGACTATCAGGAGCATGTATTATTATCCCTATTATTATACCACATGAGCAGCAGGTAATGAATTATTATACAATATTACAATGTTAAGACAGGGGGGAAACGGGGATCACCGACTGAGCTGCCTCCCTGGCAGATGTCTTGAGCTGGTGGACTGTAAATGCGGAGCTGCTGTACTTGGAACACGGGTGCAAGCGTATGCACCGTCGTGTTGTGGAGCGAAGAGCGTTCAACTGCGCACGTGGACGCGAAGTATTGTTTAGAGTAGGTAAAGCTACTCGGAGCTGATTGTCACGAGCTTAACGATTCGAGAACAGACTGGACGACGACAGTCAATAAAATGAGCAATACGAGCTAATCGGCCGAACAACCGCGAAGCGTAAAACAAAACAAGAAAACACGTTTTCCGTAGCTATTCCAAACGGGAGAAAATGGCTGACGGACGAGCGAGCAGAGCAAAACGTGAAGACGGAGCTGTCGTGTACTCCGTACTCGTTAAAAAGGAGAGTGGACTAGTGGAGCGTACGAACCACAGATGTCAGATATATACAATAACTAGATAGCTAACTAGTGTAACAGTCGGAAGTCAACCGCCATATGCGTGGTAGTCAATGTTTACATTAATTATTGTTATCATTTCTTATCACTATGAAATACAATATATTAAATTAAAGTGTTATTACTTATTAGTAATAATAATTAATAAGTAATTTATTTAAATATAAAATAAAATTGTTAAGTACGTATAAGTATAAGTAGTATAACAAATTTATAACTATATAATATATAATATTATATAAATGTATGAACCACGGAAAAGAGATTAAACAAGTATAACCAGGTAAAAACAATAGGTGGGTACTCACTACTCGACCAATATAATACTTACACACAGTAATGTTTAGCATTTACCTACAATAAATATTATTCTGTTTGGGAAAAGTAAAGGAAATTATGTGTTTAGACCTCCCAAACTACGATCTGTTGGGTAACTTATAAATTAAATTGTAGGTATTACATTTTTTTTTTTTTGTGGTTCGTTTGAAAAGAGTTTTTTTAAAGTTAATTTGTAACTTCCTCCTGGATTATCATAAAAGTCTGATCGTTCAAAATGATCACTACATAAGCGACTTCCAGCATTTGGCACAAATCCTATGCGACCAATAGCGTTTAACCAACCTTTTAATCTTTCAGCATCACTTAGAGGAAATCTAAAAAAATGTATATTTAACCCCGATTTTGCTCTATTTGTACAGCGATGAGTTGAACAGGTAGTCGGCATATTTAATTAAGTACTTAAAAATCACATAAAACAATTTTTTTTTATGAAAAATGAAAATTATATTAGCAATAATTGACTGTACATAATACACAGATGTATACAATAAATTATTGATATAATATCTGTACAATAATATGATGATAAATTCGAATTGATAAAGTGATAACAAACAAAAACATTGACTACCATGCATATGGCTTTCGGCTTCTTAATCATAGTGCGTCAGATATAATCAGTTAGTTATCTAGTTATTGTATATATCTGTGGTACGACGAGCGTCTCGAGCACAGATTTCTATATAGTACTAGATAGCGAACTCCTGCCATGAATTGAAGCTTCAAGGTCGGTTGGCAATTGTATGGTATTTCATATGAAAAATAAGATGATTTTATAAAAAAATTTTTATATAAGTCATTTTACATTTACTATTTTATTTGACCGTTAAAAAAAATATTATTCCTAATACATTTTGTATAATAAATGAAATGTTTTGCCAACCGACAAAATGGCGGCCGTTCACAGCTGAGCTTCACTTGTAACAATGTAAATTGTATAAGAGTTCCTTATCTAGTGTAGTATAGAAGTCTGTGGTCTCGAGAGCAAAATTGCGCCACCAATCAGAATCGTTCACATTTGTTATCACTATTTGTGAAAATCATGTTTCTTATCATCCTTTATAAAAATTATAATGTGATAATATAATAATCATCAATCATACAGGTTTATGATGGGTACTTTCAATTCATTTTAGTGAACTAATTCATGTGATTCAGCTCATTAAAATGTCATTGAATCACTGAATCAATTCATTATATTTACATTTTATAATTGTGACTAATATTTTAAACCTAAGGGCAAATAATTATTTATATATAATTTATATCTTTATATATATAATTCTACTGTACGTGTGTTTGTAAGTGAACTCTTCCTAAACGGCATTCACAATCTGACCCGGTAGGCCCATTCCGGGGAGGTGCTCAAACAGGAATGTTGAGATTTACGGTGGATATTTTTGTTTATAAATGTGTTAGGAACCCCTTGTTCTTATAGTAATATAATATAGGTAACATAGAATTTAGATGGGTAAGCACTTTTGTAAGACGACGTCCGTCGCCATCGAATAATGCATAGTACATAAGCCAGTCGTAAAATAGTCTTAGACTCGATTACTGTGTGTACGTTTTACATAAAAAATAAAAGTATTATTATCATTTAAATTCATTGAGTTAAAATTCAATTCCTGTAATAATAAGTTTCAATAGAGCACTGTAGTACTTTCGAGAGAGCGAACTCATTCTTTAACAGAGGATAACAACTCAAAATTGTCTACGAAGGAACAAACCTAAGTAAGACATAACAAATGGTTGCCATGGGTTTTAAAGCTATTATAAAAATAAAAATTGGTTGAAATCAGAAATAATTTATAAACAACGTTAATATAATTAAAACCAAAGAAAATTTTAAAGTTTAAGTCATAGATTTGGTACATTTAACGGGTAACAAAGTACACGGGATCAGCTAGTTTACATATAAAATCAAATTGACAAACGTAAAGTATAATATTAAATGAAAAATCAATCACTGTCACTGTATTATTTATATGTTAATATGTTATATTTATTTACTTTGAAAATACAAAACATAAAATGTTTAATATGTTGTGGTTTTCCACGGATTTCCATGTGCATATTGTATAGCAAAAAAAACTGATGCAGCGACGTGGAAAATATTTTTTCAAAGGGGTAGAGCATCGACTTGTGTGTACCTCGCATGTGGATCAATCTTGGAGAAGAAATATTCAGTCAAAAATAAGAGGAACTCCTGAAAAAAAATGCTTAGTTTATAAATCATTAAGAGTGATACATCAAGAGCCAAATGAAAATATATTTACCGAACTTCTAAATAGATTTATGGCTGAAATAATGAATGACGATGATACTATTCAATTTGGTGAATATTTCAATAGTTATTAGGTACTTGAATAGAGTCAAACTGTGGGCATACTGTCACCGAAGAAACTGTGGTATTAACACAAACATGTATTTGGAGTCAGTGCATAAGTGCCTGAAATATTATTATTTACATGGTAAGAAAACGTTTAGATACCTGCATAAAGAAGCAAACATGGCATATGAAGTAATCCATTCTACAGCTGATGTGTGTAACATTGAAGAGTGTCGCTTGGTTTGTCGCAAGTGTAATATATGCATTCATAATTATACTTGTGAATGTAGTGATTACATAATTAAATTAAATATATGCAAGCATATTCATGCCTGCGCTATTTTTTCTTCATCAAATACTCAAAAAAATTTGTGTGAAACAACAGAAAAAGAAATTCTGATTCCTGCTGCAGAAATAAACTTTATAGAAAAATCAGTTGTCACTTATGCTTATGCTTTATGATTATCTAATATCGATTTATCTGAAAAAATGTGCTTCTATTTTTTATATATTATATTATTATTTATTATCTATGATAAGAAACGTGATTTTTCACAAATAGTGATAACAAATGTGAACGATTCTGATTGGTGTCGCAATTTTGCTCTCGAGACGCTCGTGTGGTACGAACGAGCTCGCCTGCGCCGAGCTCCGGTAACGGTCACCGGTAGTGTTGCCAACATTGCGGCTGCCGGAGCGCAGCGCCCACGAACATGGTTACTGCGGCGGTCGGTCGAGCGTGACCACCGACGGCGGAAATTCTGTTATCACACGGAGCGAACAATGGGGTTCTCTGGCTATGGAGCATTTAAATGAAATAAAACGTAAGAACTTTTGTTGAATTTTTTCAATGATTTTCTTATGACCCGATTGATATGGATACCATATTATTGAGCCATTTTCACAAATAGAGCGTACCAAGCTACAGTAAATGGACTTTAAGGCTAATGAATCATCAAAATTAGCACAATTACGACGGATAAAATAAAGGATTTTATTTGATCTGTTAGCAATGTTGGTAATATGACAGTCAAATTTAAGTTTGGGATCAAAATAAATACCAAGGTCTTTAATAACCACCATAGTCTGAAGTAGTGGTTCACCATTGTGGTTGTAATCAAATGAAGAAATTACTCGAGCTCTGGAAAATGTCATTATCCGGCATTTCTTAGTATTAAGATTAAAATTATTGTTACTGCACCACTCATAGAGAGTATTTAAATCGAGCTGAAGTTAAACAGCCTCATTCTGATTATCAACTATACGGAATATCTTCATATCATCAGCAAACATTAATTTAGTACAATTATGAAAATTAATGTCATTAATAAAAATAAGGAATAATATTTGTTCTAAATGGGGCCCTTGAGGAACTCCCGATGTAACACGAATTGGAATTGATCAGTTTCTTTGTAAGCTACTATTAGCTGACGATCTTCAATAAAGGAGATCTGTTTCAATTTCTTAAATAAGATTTGATGGTTAATTTTATGGAATGCCTTGGTAAAGTCTGTGTAAATGACATCAACATTCGATCCACGAGAAAGAGCTTCAGATACAAAATTTCAAAAGTTAAGTAAATTAGTAATCGTACTTTTATTTCGTCGAAAACCATGTTCATCATCTATGATTACATGATTCAAAACAGATAATACCTTTATTAAGGAACTGAAAAGTAAGAAATGGGTTATGTTCTGTTTGTCTCTAGATTATCATAAAACAACAATAATTAGTTATCGTATTTAAACTAATATTATGGTATTATTAAACGAATTGCTGTTAAATTTCAGAAAATAAAAATTATAACACATCTACTATAATCATTGTAAATCAATAAATAATCCTTACTTTTTAATGTTCCTAAATCTGGTTCAGTTGCCGCCGGAATAATCCATACTGAAATTACAATACATGTAAAAGTTATTAAATATTGCTTAAAAAAAATCATTTTGATTTAATATTTTTATATGAGAAAATAATAAAATATAATGGAAAAGTTGAGCAACAAATGAAATAGAAACTTCTCGATTTATTCTATAAGCAGTATGTGTAAATAATGTTCACAATATGTTGTTTATTATGTAAGTAACAAGTAATATAATCTAACAAGACAATAATATTATTCACTATTTGTTAGTGAACGCCATATGTATTACTTTTCATATCAACTGAGTAAATAATTATTTTACAAAATTAAATATGGCAAAGATGCTCTATACTCTATAGGCACCCAGAACACATGTTTTTAATTTTTATGCTTTTCGACTTCAAAATACCACTAAAAATGTTCAAATAAATTTACTAGTAATATTACATTACATAGTTAAATACAAAATACTATTCAGGAATGTGGTACGATACACTTTTAAAATATTTGTCATGCAAATGAAAAAATGTAAGGCGATATGAATGTCAATTAAGGAGCTATCTAAAATTTAGTTTGAATAAAAATTATATTAGATTATAATATACAAATAACTATGGACTATAGTATAGGACATAATAAAATAATAGTTTTGCATTAAATTTACAAATATACAAAACTTAAATCAATGTTGGTTAAGACGGTTCAGTTACCTATGTATTGTCATTTGGGTATGGTGTTCATGCATAAATATGCATGTTGAGATATAGGTATGGAAAACGTTTAAGATATACAAATTAAAATGAAATTCTTATCAACCTAGAAAAAATTTAAGTAAACCTGCACATTTCTAGTTCTTATATATTATATATATATATATCTTAGAAAAATAAAACAATAGAAAAAATAGAAATGTAATTTTTTTTAAAAAGAAAAATAATAATATCCTATGATATTAAGTACATATTATAATTAAAACACAATTAGCATTAAAAATTTTAATCTGTAAAACCAAATTCCTTCAATTTTGTCTGACTTTTTGGTCAAACAGGTCTAATAATATCATAGTTAACCATTAATTATTTTTGTCGAAAATAGATTTTTAACCAGATTTGAAAACATAAGGTAACCGCTTTGATGTTAGTTTGATGTACTTAGATGATTATCTTGATTACCGGTAAAATAACTAAAATAAAAGTGATTATCGATAATCGGTTTTCGGTTATCAAATCTTCAACGGTCATCAGTTTTAGACCCAGTTAATGTGTTCTTCATTAAAAAAAAAAAAAGAAGGGACTTAGATTATTTAAGCAGGGTATAAATTATAAACAGTAAAGGGAGATAGAACCACCATTGTGTCACATCATTACGTTCATCTAAACTTATAACTATATAATCGTACAAGTTTAAACTTTTTTGTAAGAATACACAGAAAAATATTCTGTTCAGAAAATACAACATACAATGTTGATAATGAGCTGTTGATTCAGCAACCACACATATATGAAACAATAATTCACCATTTGTTGTGAACTCAAGAATTATGGTTTTTATATTTGTGAACCTGAAGAAAAGACTAGTATAAAAATTTAACACGGCTCTACGGTATACAGTTTCTAGTTTCCCACTCTCTCCTACCAAGTTTAAAATATATAATTTAATAATATTTTACAAAAAAAAATTATATAAATAATGTTTAATTGAATTGCTTGCTCATAATTTCGATCCATAGTTATGAAAACAAGCTGATTAACAAATGACGAAATCTTGACCGAAATTTGCAAAACAAAAAGAAAACTCGATTTTGTTTTGTATTTTCCAATAAATTAATTAATGATAAATAATATTTGAAAAAGTTTAGTTATCGCACATGATCATTCATCGTATTATGTAAAAATAAAGTTAAGCAATGTAGTACTAAATACGTACATGATACATCTAAATAGAAACACATGTGCATTTTTGATTTTTTTGATTTTATCAAACCATTCTTATTTAATGTTTAGAAGATTTATAAAATTTAGTAAATACTCGTCAATTATATACATTTCATTACATATAATAATAATGTAAGCATAATTACTAATTAGTATTCCATTAGTGCATAGTTTTTATTTTGTTACCTTTAAGTTTCTATATGTTTCATATGTTTAGAACACCTTGTTTCCCAGTTGTTTCCGTCCGTTAGTTGCTATAGTAAGTACATACCAACGATTGTTTGATTTAAAATGTTACAACAGTTCTATTCAAAGCTAATATTTTAACCAAGGAAGTGTTAAAAAACTATCAAAATATGAGAATTTAATAAAGATTCATAGTAACCAACATTAAAATGCAATGGTACCAAAATATAAAAGTTACCAAATAATTTTTAAATTGTTTATAGAATAATAGTTTGTTGAGTTTTATTAGTACGTTTGCAAACCGGGAATTCAGGACGCTTGTAGATTGCAGAACGAGCTTTGATCATTTTTGTTTTATCTACGAATTATAAGTCGTATGAATTACTAAAATGAACTAATTTTCGAATTTCGTAAAAACGTTACTTATAAGTTATAACTAATACACAGGTTCCCAAATATAATTATATAATGTTGATTACAAATGAAATTCTATCAGTTACATATTTAAAAAAGTAAAAAGGGAGATATATTTTTTTAATGTATAAATGTTGAAATAATTAAATTTTTTTAACGTTCCATTTAAATTATCAGTTATTGGCTTTGTTATTGTAAATAGTCCAGCTCAATAAGTAATAAATGTTAATGACATTTGACATTAAATATAAAAGGTTTTTTTCCCTTTAACGACTGACAATGACATTATAATGTCTTTAATTCATAGTGAATTATAATTTATAAACAATCTAACATTCATTTTTACAGAAATATTAATATAAAATATGAATTTTGTTTTTCTAGATTAATAATAAAATATTGTTGAAGTGCTAATTGAGATAGCAGAACAAATTAAGAGGCTGAAAAATCATAACTCATAAGACTCCGGGTGAAGATGGAATACAGGCTGAGATTCTAAAGAGTTTAGATGAAGAAACCGTATCCAATATATTATATAACCTAGTAGAATTAGTATGGAAATAAGAAAAATCCCGGAAGATTGGAAAACCGCATTAGTGTGACCAATATATACAAATAAACGATCCACTCGAGTGCAACAATTATAGGGGCATTGCTTTACTCAATACAACATACAAAGTTCTATCTTACTGCATCCTAGATAAAATTAAACTAATCTCCGAAGGAATACTGGGAGAGTACCAAGGGGGTTTTAGACCAAATACATCCACTACAGATCAAATATTTATTATAAAGCAGATATTACAAAAAATGTGGAGTTTGATAAGGAGGTCTATACCTTGTTTGTAAACTTTGAGAAAGCATATGACTCCATAGACTAACACTATTTAATATATTAAAAGAGTTCAATATACCAAGAAAGTTAATTAACCTGATTAAAGCGACTATGGAAAATTCTGAAATAAAAATAAAAATAGTGAACTCTAAATCTAAATCGTTCAAAGTAACTTCTGGTTTAAGGCAAGGGGATGCATTATCCTCAATCCTTTTTAACCTAGTTCTGGAAAAGGTGGTCAGAGATATGAATATATCAGAAGGTATAACCTTAGGATTGTCAAAGATAGGCCTGCTAGCATATGCCGACGATATTGCCATCATAGGAGACAATATTGAAATAGTTAAAATACATTGTAAGAAGCTAATGGATGCTGCGGGTAAGGTCGGCCTCAGAATAAATGATAGTAAGACGGAATATATGAAACTCAACAGAAGAGACAGGACGTATAGACACGGAGAAAGTATGAATGTAGATGGACATATATTCCACAGGGTTCCACAATTTAAATACTTAGGTGTCCTCTTAACTCAGGACAATGAGTTAAAAGTAGAGATTTCAAAAATGATACAACTGGCCAAAAACTGCTATTTTGGTTTGGGAACCCTGCTAAAATCTAGATCAATATCTCTAAATTTAAAAATAAATATATATAAGACATTAATACGTCATCCTATATGGGTCAGAAACATGGGCTCCAAGAAAGATAGAGGAAATAAGATTGGACACTTTTGAAAGAAAAGTTTTAAGACTAATCTATGGGCCTTGTCTCGACACAAGAACCAAAGAATGGAGAATTCGAACCAATGAGGAAGTATATAACTTGTTCCAAAGACCAAGTATTTCAAGGGAAGTTGCAAAAAGAAGACTGATGTGGGCAGGTCACGTGTGGAGGAAAAAAGACGCTATGATAATAAAA